CTGAGTGACATCGCCGTGGGGAGCAGAAGTTGTTGACGCATCACCGGTAGGCGTTGGTGGGCGCTGAGCCAGTGGAATCGAGTCCTGGGTTATTGGTTGTGGTGAGTATAACTGCTGCCATTCTGGCGGTGCTGGTTGGGCCACACACATTGGGTGGTCGGTGCGGGCGTGCTCTGCATGCGATGTGGAGTCGCGTCCCCAGGTCTTGAATGGGGACGGGTTGATCTGGGTGCTCAGTGCTTTCTTGGTGCCGGCTCCACTGTCTGCACTGATTTGGCTCTCGGTGCCGGCTTAGTCTTCGGTGCCGGCTTAGCTGACGATGCCGGATTGGGGCTCGGTGCAGGATGAGTCATCAGTGCCGACTCCGCCCCGGACGTCTGGTCAGGTCCCGTATGTGGCAATGGTGCTGGGTGCCAAGGACTGCACCATATCTGGCTGCGGTGCTGCGTGGAGACTGTGTCGCAGATGATGGTGCCGATTCCGGACGACCTGGTGGTACCGAGAATACTGAAAACGTGGGCTTTGGTTGACTTGTCCGCTCCCTGTCTGGGAAGGAAGCCCGATGAGCTCTGTGCCTCTCCTGCACTTACACTCCTGGGTGGAGCAGAGCTTTTTCTGTCCCTGGACTTACGTGGGACTGAAGCTTTCTGTTCTTCTATTGACGGGGGCTGAAGCGCCTTATTGAAGAGTAACATCTTCAGGTGCATTTCTCTATCCCATCTCGCCCGACTGGTCAACTTCGAACAGCAACCGCATTTCTGGGGGATGTGGCCCTCTCCCAGGCAGCAAATACAATGGGAATGGCCATCGGAGGCTGGCATGGTGTCGCCGCACGAGGCACATTTCTTGAAGCTGGGAGAGCCGGGCATGTTTAGTGCGGCGGTCTTCGAGGGAAGAAACAACTTGAGGTGCTGGTCGGAGCGGCCCTCAGTAATTATAACTGCAAAAGAGAATTTTTTTTTTAAAACAACTAACTAACTATGATAATAACTAACACTGTGTAGGAAGGGGCTAACTGGGAAGGAACAGAAGAATTTACGATACAATTTTTCCTCAAGAGAGGAGCATGTTCCAAGTCCATCTGCGGCTGTGGACAGTTAGGAGGAACTGGTGTGTCGGACCGCGCGACACAGAAAAGGCGCAAATGGCGCGGGACACCTCTGCGCATGCGCAGTCCTCCAGAGGGGGCTACTGCTAGTGAAAACTTTCCAGATTGTGGTGCCGGGACAAGCCCGACACCTATAGTGGAGCACCCACGGGGACATCACTCGAAGAAGAAGAATTGTGATATGAACATAGGCATCTTCAATGTTGAGGGCTGAGAACCAGTCTCCCTCATTCAGCATCGGTATGATAGTTGTGAGTGTGACTATCTTAAATCTATGGTACGGGATAAATATGTGTTGAGTTTTCTGAGTAAGACAGGCCTCCACCATCCTGGTTTCCTTTTTTGGGAGGAAATAGTTTGAATAGAACCCTTTTCTTTGGTAACACAGGGAACTGGCTCTATTGCACCAAGGTGAAGGAAGTGTTTGACCTTATTGTAATAGGTGATTGTAGGAAGGGTCCCTAAAGAGAGAACTGGGAGAGGAGGAGGGTTGGGGATGTATGCAGAATGTATTATTTGAAGGACCCACCGGTCTGAAATTAACTGAGCACAATGGTGGTAAAAAGGGCATAAACAATGGCCAAAAGGGCAGCTGGACAAAACTGTCTGGGAGAAGAAGTTGCTCAGACCCTCAACCACACCTTTAAAATTGCAGCTTGGTGGAAAATGGCAGGGTGGCAGAGGATTGTTCCTATGGAGTTTGTTTCCTGTTGTGGCAGTGTTTGGCCTTTTGATCCAATGGGCACTGGTCATGCCGTTGGAAAGGTACAATCCGAGTTCTCTTGTAAGGGGTGTAGCGTTTACTCCCCTCCTTAGGGGGTGTGTACATACCCGGCTATATAGCATTGCACAGAAGTCTATCACAGAATGAAGTACCTCATCAGTTTTAGCAGCAAAAAGGTATGCATGGTCAAAGGGAAGATCCACTATTCTAATTTAGCATTTTTGGAATCCCCAATGCCTGCAGCCAAGAGGCATAATGTACCACAATAGTGGTGGCTGTAGTTCATGCTGCTATGTCAGCTACATCCACGACGGCTTGTAACGCTGTGCAACCGATGGTTTGCCCTTCTTTTATTATGGCATGTAGCTGTGGCCACTTTTGCTCAGGAAGATCATTCAGTAGCTCTTGTAATTTAGAGTAGTTGGAGTGATCATAATTAGCCAGCAAAGCGGTGTAACTGGCAACCCGGAATTGGAGTGTAGAGGATGAACAGACACTTCGTCCAAAGAGGTCTAGATGCTTGTGGTCTTTATCTTGGGTGTACATTTGAATTGAAGCAGCTTCAAGGGTGATGGATTGCCTTGACCATTGAAGAATTGGACTGGGAATGGTAAAAAAGGGAATCCACCACCTTTGCCAGAACATAATATTTTCTGCCACTCGTTTGTGGCAGGCAGAGAAGCTGGAGTTTGCCATATGGTCTCAGACGGCTCCATAATGGCCTCATTGATAGGGAGAGCAATTTTCATAGTCACAGATGGATGTAAATATCTGCAGCAATTTATGCTGCTTCTCATACAACTCTTGTTAGGCAATGTTTTGTGTGGTAGCAACCCTTTTAAAAGTTCTTGGAACTGTTTCAGGTCATCTACTAGAGGTGAGGAAATGCAATGACTACCTCATCAAATGAAGAAAACAAATGGAGAGCTCCGTGTCCTATTGAGGTAAGTCATTCTCCTCTTCCATCAGTTCCTCTTCAGCTGTGACTAATATTGTGTTAGGAGCATCAACTGGTGGAGATCGAAAAGCAAGATAAGTTGGAGTGGAGGACGCAGTATATTTCTGACCATACTGGGCCCAAGGGTCTTATGGGGACCATTGTGTCAGATAGGGAGGAGGCAGGTAAGGCCAGGGATAATTGAACCATGTATACTAAGGGGCCTGATGAGTAGATTTAGGCTTTGTTGTTTTCCATGGAGAAGGTGCATTTGTTAGGAAGGAATGCTATGTTGAGAATCAACTCTCTCACCCTTTGCCTATCCGGTGTGGATGGAAGGGAGCAACAATCCAAAGTCTGTTGGTGTGGACTGTCCGTGCCAAGGGTGGGTGAGCGTGGTGCAGAGTCAGCTTGAACATCTGAAGCAGTAGAAAGGTATCTCAGTACTGGACAATGTTGTGGGTCACCCTGTCTCTGTGCCATCTTATTTGAAAGATCCAGTGTGGAGAGTTGCTCCAGTGCAGCACTATTAGTCAAAGCTGCAGGGAGTGAGGGGGAGAGTGACATGGCCTGACAGTTGGTCTTCGGTGCCTACTGAGTGGTCGGTGCCATCAGGGCAGACTTGTGTTTCAATACTGAGTCAGAGTGTTTCATCGGTGCTTCCTTTCTTTTGCTGGCGGTGCTGGAAATACTTGGTATTTGCAGAGAGCCAGTTTTGGAAAACATCAGCACTGTGGGCAGCGATCATCCTGGAAAAGCCCTTGATTTACACAAATCCTGGGTCAGAGAGCAAAGGGCTCTCTTTCTCAGATTCAAACGTTTCACCAGCACAGGTTTTTTGGGGTTCTGAGGTAGATTTCAGCCCTGGTTGGAATAACTTTTCTACTGAAATTATTTTGAGCTTCAGCTCTCTGTTCTGCCTGGCCCTGATGAGGCAATGCTGGTATTTCTGGGAAACATGGCCCTCTGAGGCATTGTATAAAGGAATAGAAGCTGACACAGGAATGGGTTCCCAATATGAATCACAATTCTTAAAGCTGGGGGAGCCTGGCATGGTGGATGGAGCAAAGGCCCTGTCAAGGGAAAATGAAACAAAAAAGTAGGGGTTTTTTGGTTTTTGTTCACCCTGCAGAAAAAGGATCGGGTAGGTAATAGGTAAGTAAACTGAAGTGAGGAAAAGCAGGTAAATATCTATGGTTTGAAGAGAGAAAGAAAGAGATCACACTGCTGCAGAGCGCCTTCTGCCAGAGACAATAAAGAAGAAACTGAGGGCATTATGCACGCAGTCAATGGACATAATGGCATAAGGTGGCCACTGCACATGTGGCACTGCCAAGCACCGCTGGAGGAAAAACCTCTGATTGTTGGCTGTAAAGATGCACCAACACTTATAGTGGAGCACCCACAGGAACACCACTCAAAGAAGAGTTTATAGGGATGAAGCAATAAAATATGCTTGATGGAATTCCCAAATTATAGACCTGAGCAATGCCGGGTAAAACTGCTAGTACACTATTATATTATAAAGGGACTTGAGAGCAGTTGAAGCAGTTACATAAAAATGAGCATAGCATGCCAACGTGTGAACAAATTTAATATAAATTTCAGACATTTATAAATTGGTTCCTGAACCTATATTATTATCCTTATGAACTGTTGAAGGTAAATGGATCCCTCTGAAGTCAACAGGGCTCTGCAATGGTACAGCAGTTGGTACAGGCAGATGACAAAAGCAGGGGCGGATAAAGGGCAAGGCAAAAGGGGCGGCCGCCCCGGGCCTCGCGCTTCAGAAAGCCCCGCGCATGCACCGTGGCGTCGCTGCGCATGTGCCGTGGCAAAGGGGGAACCCCGCAGAATTATGCTGCCCGGGGCCCCGCAAAACGGTCATCTGCCCCTGGACAAAAGTATTGTGTTTACTCTATTAAGTAAACTCTATTTACTCTACCCTATTAGACTTTACTTTATTCTGCTCTATTAGATTTCCAAAATAAATTCTAAACGGTTGAAGTGTCTTGTTTAAAAATTAAAGCTTTTAAGAAATATATACGTATTACAGATTTTAAAAATATTGTCGGCAAACTCTTAAGCTTGAGTAAAAATAACTACTGCAGAGATACTCCAGTTAAAACAGACTAGTACTTTGTTCTGTCATACCAAAAGTCAGCTTTAACTTTGTCAGGTTATAAAATCTGGTCAGATTACACACTTGTGCAGGAAATAAATCTACTTACAACTGAATCTGCATCTGGACATTCCCTGCATAAAAATAAAGAAAAATGTAACTATCAAAAAAGCATAGATAGATAAGTATTTCATGTATATAATTTTGGAATCTCCTTTAGTAATTTTTAATTTGCTTACAACACAGCCTTTTATATACAACGCCTAAAAAGCAACATTAACATTTTCTTATTTAACTGACATTAATATTAATGAAGTGAATTCTTATTCATTTGCAAGAAAATAAAATTAAAGTAACTGGAGGTTTAAGCTGAGTCCACCAAAGCAGGAAAAGTCACATAAATGCTGAAAATTAAAGCTGACACTTCAGCCTTAACTCATGTCATGGTGCAAAAGAAAAAAAAACATGATGGAATGAGTTAAGGCAGGAGTGCCAGCCTGCATTTTAAATTATATCTGTGAATTCCATATTGTTCTCGGTTTAAGCCAGATGTTTAATAATTTTGTGAATATTTCTATAGTTGGAGAAAGTTAGGTGTGTACACATAACATGCAAATGAAAAAACAAATGGCCTGTCAATACTAATGAAATTGTCCACATAAAAAAATTCTCATTTCGACAATAACCTGTTCTAGAAACAATTCTGACTAAGCTAAAGGAATTCAGAATTTCTCTGTTCCATAGTATCATCCTCATACATAGATCATGTTCAAGAATGGTGTGCGCCTTTGAGCCATAATTTTATAGATTACAAGAACTGGTGTACATACCAACAAATAACAAGACAGATCACTATGACAAAGGTTTGGTAAAAATAAAATAAATCACCTCTTCTAGAATAGAAAGCTTCCAAAAAAGCAATTGATGGGTTTGCAGTATCTGTAAATACTTTATATGGGACCAGAAACAGATTCTATTGTAGTTTCTGGATTCAAACAGAAAGGCTGTGTCTAACTGCATCCCTTTTCCGTAAAAGGGATGCAAATCAGACACATCGCAATTGCAAATGAAGCGGGGATTTAAATCCCCCCCCGCTTCATTTGCATAAACATGGCTGCCGCTTTTTTCCGGCTCGGAGCTTTGCCGGAAAAAAGTGCCAGTCTAGACGCGGATCTTTTGGAAAATAAAGCCTTTTCCGAAAGATCCCTTATTCCTTATTTTAAGAGGAAGCAAAAGCGGCAGCCATGTTTATGCAAATGAAGCGGGGGGATATAAATCCCCGCTTCATTTGCAATTGTGATGTGTCTAATTTGCATCCTTTTTACAGAAAAGGGATGCAGTCTAGACACAGCCTAATAGTTTAAAAAATGAAAGTTAGTCCAAGTGACCAGACATGAAATTCTCTGAGACAACTGATAAATGCATGTGTAGAAGCAGCTACTGTTAACACCTGAATATGAAATTAGCATATAGGTATTCCATAACCTGCATTATCATAAATATAAATATTTATAAATAACAATATTTGTTAATTATTTCTTAAAGGCAGCTGTATTTACGACAAATAGAAAGAGAAATAAAATTGGTAACAGTAATCTTTAACAGGTCAAACTATTGATTCAGACATTCAACCTATATGTAATCTTTTCATGAATGATGAAAAACACTTGCAAAGAAACTGAACCATTAATATGGAATTTCAACATAACCTTAAGAAGGGACTTAGAAAGGTTTTTTCTTTTTTAACGAAAAACCACAGGAATACAAGGCCTATGTATGAGACCGTGCTTTTAATTCACTTCCAGCTTGCGAACAGGAACAGCTAACAGGAGAGTTTGGAGAGGGAGTTCTCCAGGTAAAAGAGGGAGTAAAAATGGGACCCTTGTGGAGCTTCTAAAAGGTTTGAAACCTAGAATCCTCTGTTAATTGGCTGAGCCTCAGTCAGCGGGAGGGGCTACCAGAGCTATATAAGCCGGTGACTCAGCGACCAGGGAGCTTGCGACCAGGAATAGCTAACAGGAGAGTTTGGAGAGGGAGTTTAGAGGGCACTAGAGGGGGAGGTTAGAGGGCACTAGTGACTTCGGACCTTCTTTAAAACATAACTCTTAGAATAATCTATATTCCAGAGGTTTAAATCTATATTCCAGAGGTTTAAAACTAATCCCATTTACACCTAAACTTATTCATTAGAAAAATGCAGACAGAAGCCTAGCAGCAGAATGGGGACTATCCTGTTTATTGTGTCGAGTGTAACATGTATGATTACCTGCCCTGTGGGCGGGTGGCATATGTGTGCACTCGTTGCAAGGAGCTCCTGACCCTCAGAGACCGAGTTCGGGATTTGGAGTTCAGGGTGGCTGAACTGGAGGAGCTAAGGGAGGTAGAGAGCTATGTTGATGAGTCTTTCCGGGACACTGTAGTACTGTCCCACCTCCAGTCTGAGAGTCCCAGTGCTCTTAAGGAGGATGAAAGCCTCAAGGGAACAGGGCATTTAATGGGAGCAGAGGGAAACCATCCCGTAGTTGGGACCCTCCTCCCAGAGAATGTTGCGGTATCCTCTCGCACTGAGGATACCTCTAAGGGGGAGGACATACCAGTTAGGAAAAGGCAGGTGTTAGTAGTGGGTGATTCGATTGTTAGAAACATAGATAGCTGGGTTTGTGATGACCGGGAGAACCGTTTGGTCACTTGCCTGCCTGGTGCGAAGGTTGCGGATCTCTCGAGGCATCTAGATAGACTTATGTGTAGTGCTGGGGAGGAGCCGGTGGTCGTGGTACATGTCGGTACCAATGACATAGGGAAGGGTAGGAGAGATGTCCTGGAGGCCAAATTTAGGCTGCTAGGAAAGAGAGTGAAATCCAGGACCTCTATGGTGGCATTCTCGGAAATGCTTCCAGATCCACGCGCAGGGCCAGGTAGGCAGACAGAGCTTCAGAGTCTCAATGTGTGGATGAGAAGATGGTGTAGGGAGGAAGGGTTAGCTTTATAAGGAACTAGGGAAACTTTTGGGATAGGGGGAGCCTATACCGG